AGGGCGCGGGCATTGTTATCATGAGCAGAGTGGACTACTTGAGCAAAATGAAGGAAATACTGGCAGATGAAACCAACTTTCTGAGGGCCATAGGTGAGTAAGACAAAACAATACAGATTGAAACTCAACTTTGCAACTGTCTTAAACGGCTTCGAAAGGATGGTAACATCAACGAAGCCACATATGAACATTTTCGGCCGGTAGGAATGGTTACTCCAAGGCTATCTGGGCTACCAAAAACTCACAAGCATAACGTCCCCCTTCGTCCCGTCTTGGATATGAAAAACTCCTCATATCACTCGATTGCTCGGTGGCTGGTTTTGATTCCTACACCTATTCGAGAGCGAATTGTTGTGCATAGTGTGGAGGATAGTTTTGAGTTTGTGGATATCGTGCGTGATGTAAATGTTTCCAATCTAACCATGTGCTCCCTCGACGTTACTTCACTCTTCACCAACGTACCATTAGTTGAGACCATAAACTACGTCTGTGAGTATGTTGATGCAAGCCACATTAATGTTGGCATACCCACGATGATCCTAAAGGAATTATTGCTCGGATGCACGTTCAATGTTCAGTTTCTATTCATTGGCGAATTATACCGGCAGTGCGATTGGGTAGCGATGGGTTCCCCACTGAGTCCGTTCCTCCCCGACGTCTTCATGGGCATGCTGGAACAGGGAAAGCTAAAGCCAACGATCTCAAGTCTTGATTTATATTGCCGTTACGAAGACGACATTTTTGTCTAGCTGCAGTCGTCTCGAAGTATCGAGGAACTAACAAACACGTTCAACCAAAGCCATCCAGCAATCAAGTTTACCTGCGAAGTTGGGGAAAACAGTCGCTTTCATTCCCTCGATGTCGCCACGAAAAGACTGGATGGGGGTGCGCTACAGCGCTGCGTCTATAGGAAAAGTACGTGGAATGGGCAGTCCACAAACTAGTACAGCTTTGTCCCACTTAGGTTTAAACGGAACTTGATAAATACCCTAGTGAGCGGAGCTGAACGTATCTGCTCGAATGACACCCTGTCTGAAGAATTGGAATGCATTCGCTTAGTGCTAATGGAGAAAGTCTATCCGGAAAGCTTTATCAGAGCCAACAGAGAACATTTGAAGAAAAAGTCCGTAGTTTTGACAGTAGAACGTAAGCCAATCTTCCTACAACTGCCATACAAGGGCGAGGTTGCGACGGAACTTCTATCTCGTCGTCTTTCGTTTGCACTCAGACGCACCTATCCAGCAGCGCAGATGCAAATCCAGTTCACTAGCATTCCGATGGTGAGACTAAACTCAAGGGATAAGAGGCCTGTCCACACCAACTCAATGTGTATCTACTCGTTTTCATGCTCCTGTGGAGCGGAATACATTGGTCGTACGACACGGCGTCTATCTGAGAGAATGAAGGAACACCACCCGGTCGGGCTTAGAACTGGAAGTGGAAATACAGCGAACTCTTCAATAGCCGCACACCTAGCCGATACAGGGCACGCCACAAAGTTCACTGATTCGTTCAAACTTATCTATCAGGCCCCAAAGCACCGCTCGAACTACGTCCGCAAGCGACTACTAGAAGCCGCTGAAGCAATTGCGATCCGGCTGTATGAACCGGAGCTGTGTTCAGAAGAAGCTAACTAAAGGTTTGGGACTGGTCTGGCCCAAACGGCCGGTGACCTCTGACCCACGAGGTCACACGCGGTCGATTGTTGTGGCTTAACAGACAGCGCTGTCAGCATCCAATTAACTCGCTCCAGTAGCAACGACTTGTAATGTCTGTCTGCACATTTTGATTTGCATATAATTGTATAAGCCTGAAGATGAATTGTTGAAAACATATGTTGGCTTACTCTGACTTCTGATTATACGGAATAAGCCATCGTAGTAATCATTGTTCGTCGCCCTTAGCAGTGTGTTCGATTCCATGAACTGGTTTTGGTTGTGCCTGGAGGCTCTGGTAATTGCAATTGTTAAACGAATACTTGTGTGCCAAGGTGCGGTTGTTTCGGAAAACCTGGGATTAATTTACTGTTACGTCGAATGTGAGGCAAGGCCAATTTTGAAGGCACTACACAATTTCACATACAGATTCCTACCATGCTAAATGGGAATCCTAGACACATGACGCCTTGACCACAGTAGGGGCGGTGGGGCGCTGAGTATTCGTCGCTCCGAAACGAGTAGCTTGGTAGACGAGAGGACCAGCGTGATGCTGCCGAGTGCTGCTTCTATGCAGTAAAAGAGGCTACCATACATGTAGACGACCCGCGATTTGGTAGTAACTGCGTTCTGACTCAGAATCAACACGGAAGCGAGGTTATCGCATTCAAAAATTTCGTAAAATTAAAGTTGCCATGCAAACGTAAACGAGGAGCAGATGTAAATTGCGAGAGAAATCGATCTCTGAAAGTCAGAGGACGCGCAGTCGACGGTATAGCGGACAACCATCGAGTTGCGAAAGCTATCAATGTTAACACAGTGTCTACTGGTACAATACTCGGCCATAATATTTAAATCACTGCTTGTAGACGCGTGCATGGTTGGTGTAATAATGCTAGTCTGAACTAGTGGCTGTATCATGGAACGGCCACTGACTGATGTGCGCATTCTATTAAGAACCCCAAAAACAACGACTGGAATGCAGCGTATCCGTACGATATACACGCATACAGAACGCGCCTATTTCCTGATGAGTTAGAATTGCTGCGATATTGTTGGACAACGTTGTACAAATTCGTTCATGAGTTGATGCTGCACTTGTCGGTGGAGAGTGGTTTGGCTAGGAAACAATCGTTATTCCCGCTGGAAAGCCAGCCAGTTCCAGTTAGTCTAGTTTACAGTGGATATGGCGCGCATGGAACAGAAAAGAATGCTGCAGATGCATGGAAGCCATGCCATGGCACAAAGTATCGATGTGCTGCGGAAATCTTTGGGTCAATGTACGCCAACGTAGCATACACTAAGTGCTCGTTGCGAGTGATGAGAGGAGCGTGCTTCTCAATTTGCTATAGTTTCTTTCTGCTGCACTCAAAGAACAAGCGGTGTGGGTGAGTATGTTTTTGGATCCGGCTGGAAAAGTGTGAAAAATGAATGCACCGACTCCATAACTGGATACATCCGATAATTGGCAGCTTGGGGTCGTAGCGCGACAGCATCAGCTGTGGGCTTAGCGAAGGCCTCTTGGCATTCGGTGGTTCAGATCCAAGGAACACCTTTCACCAACAACCAGTTCGGGGGTTCACAGAGGTACTGTAGTAACTTCACATGCAAAGGAAAGATATTATGGTTGTCAGGTTCGTAAGTGGAGGCGTGCTCTAGATCGTTTGGTAACTGCCGGAACTGGTTCTCGTCCATTTTGATCAATGGGAAAACCAAGATACTTAATGGTCGTCATGAACAGCTCACACACATCCACCTTCAAACGGAATCCATACCCTCTCATTTTGTCAAGCACATGTTTTATTCGCTGACGCAATCCCTCCGAATTAGATCCCATGATGATGACGTCGTGCAGATATACCGCAAAACATGTAACCCCTTGCAGCATCGTGTCTATGATCTGCTGAAAAATTGCTGGCGCCGACTTACCACCAAGTGGCAGGCGAGAATAGCGGAATTGTTCTCGACGGGGTTTTATCGTCAGCAACTCTAGGGCTCCTTACGACATTTCGATCTGAAGATACTATTTAGAAAATCATACTTTGGCAAAACATTTGCCACCGTGAAAACGTGCGAAGAGATCCTCAGGTAGGGATGGAGAATATTTGTGGTCCTATGGTGTTTGGAGACCATAAAGGAAAACCAGTACCTTGATCGTTCGTGGTCTCATTTGGGCTGTAACTCTCACAATGAGGGGTTGACAGTACTTGTGTATGCAACGAAATCATCTGAGACGCACTTAAGGAGTTTCATGCAACTATATTGGACGCCGAATAGGGACGACCAATCACCAAAAATGTCGGTTAGCATGGGTACTAGTTGATCGAATTTGAAATTTTTGAGGCATAATAAAATTGAGGAAATAGCAGTGTTCCTTGGTTTCCAACTTAGGTAGAAGCAGTTTGCAATTCCATGGGTCATCAGCATTGGTAAATTCAGACCAGAAGACCTATGCGTATCTTCCGAACAAAGATTCGAAGGTAAGATGAGCCTATGAGTCGTATTGAAATCTATAAATGCTTTTAGAGACGGCATCCACGGAAGAATGTTGCCTTGCTTGCACCGAAAGGTGCCGAAATATATGTTCGAGCAACATTGACTTTCATTGAATTCCTTCTGCTGTGGTTGCAATATAGTGGTAAGCTCTTCTACAGAAACCGGCATTTTCGGTTTCAGTAATCAAAAAACACTCCATCGCCAGTTGTTAAACTCCACCTGTCGCGTGTTATTCCGTTTAGTACAATCAGGCTCTTCACAAAAGCTCTCAATCCAACCGGAAAACCAGAAAAAAGAGACATAGATGAAAAGAATGCCTGTTCACTAATACACTGTCAAAACACAATCTATTCAGCTTGAATCCTCATCATACTTTATTGACCCAGAATCATGCGTTGTAGTTAAGCCAGAGTTATTCAAATTGAAGTTTCACTCACCCACAACATAGTAGGCAAATCCTGCTAGTTTGAAAGTTGGTCGATCGATCATACTTAGAATGGGAAGCTGGTTTCGCCGGAAAGGTATATCCACCTCTAACAGGATAGCCATGTGTCCTCCGGCTGTTCGCATTCACATGGACAGGTAATATCGAAAACAGACGCGGCCAACTAGTACTATCATCGGGGATGAGAGTTCAAAGAGGTGAAATCGTGTCAGCTTAAGTCATTGAGAAATATGGCAAGGGCGAATCTATAGGTCGCACTAAAGTGTGCCTAAAGCAATGTGATTGGCTGTAAACAGGCGTTAAGCAGAATGATCCGTCAAACGTATTTGATGAATAGTGTATAGAATGATAAAATAGCAAAAACGTGCGATAATGACTGCCGAAAGAAGAGTGGAGGACAGTACCGAAGGCATGTTCATCACAAAGAGGAAGCCAATACACGGAGATAGTCGTAGAAACAGCTTCAGGAGGGGAGACACATGTTGAGTAGACATTTCTGCCCCAGTCTAAAATGAAGTAAAAGTTAGCCATTAGGGTACACGCAGCAGGAATAAAGTGAGCAAGATCATCGTGAGAAAAAATCATACGAAAAGCATAAAAGTGTCATTGCAATGGATTCAAAGTTGAACAGACACGATGAGGTGTCCTCCAACGAGTCTGGAACACTTAAGAAACATGCAGCACTCAAGGACAGAACGTTGTGCTCACTCACACATGAGATAGTAGCACAAACAGGTGATATGTTCGTTTGGTTAACATACTGTTCTGCGTTCAGAACTCCAAGGTAGGATCATGAATGAAAATCAGACATAACTCACCTCGAGGACAATGAGAGTAGTGGTCATGCTGATAAGCGGTAAAAGGTAATAAGGATCGGGGATAGTGAGATCCGTGAACCAATAAAGGCCACCAGTTCTCATGCTTTCCACGGGCAGTGAAGCCATGCCTCGAATACCAGTGAACACAGAGATGAACACCGGGAACTGAAGAGGAAACAAGTCAGACAATGGTAACCAGAACACATGGAAGAACAGAGCGCAAACCAAATTTGCGGCGTTGAAGTATGAGCGCTAACAACCTTTGTAAAAACATATGCAACCAGCTGTAGTGCGTACAAAGCGTCAGAATATATCGTACATATAACATTTAACAGATGAAATCCTGGTGCTATGACAAAGGTGTCGGAAAAACAGAATATACGGATTCAGAGGAACAGATGTAAAGAAGACGGTTACACTTTCCATCCACTAGAAAATCCGCTACACCTAATGGTGTATCGGTTCACACATTCCAATCTGAAGTCCATGTGACTCGTTTTGTAAATAACCAGAAATTCTAAAAGACAGCACAAGTGGCATGATGGAAATCGTCTCCTAACTGGAAGACCTGTTTAAAGTGTGTCTGATGCTGACGTGGGGTAGTTCGGTTCCGCTCAGCTAGTCAATTTCGATCCATACACACTGCCGTGTAATGAATCCATCTGTTTTGACATATATAACCAAATTAATCCTCATTCAAAAGGAAAGAACAGAGATTAAAATCTTGAGAAAATAGTCGGGGGCCAGAAATCAGGGAAACAAAGCTAATGCGGCAGTGAATCGGAGACGTTATATCCGAAAGGGAGTCTGACCACTGACATGGCCGGTCAAGAAGATCAAACCAGGGAAGAGGGCAAGAACCAATCCGATACAGTATTACGATGCGGTTTTGCCAAATCATTGGTTAGCCACATGGGGTGTTGTACAAATGGAAACAGCATCAGCAAACAAATCATCGTCATCATTATACACATTAGCTAGAGGTGGGAAACACTTCAGCTACTGTGTCGCAATACATAAAAAGAAGAAAAATGCAACAGATGCATGCTAGCTGAACTATCAGTAACGGATGGGCGTCGTTCCGGAAAGATACCAGCCGGATACTACGCAGCAAAAAGTTTTACTATACAAAACTAGATTATGCTAAGAAATGAAATCGTGGTGGGGAGCGACAAAGAAACTCACAGTAAGAACACCGTTGAGGTCAGCTCCTAGCAACGTCAACAAGTTTATCCGACCAAACGTGTTCATCGTATGTCGGATCCCCGACCAGGGAACCGAGACGCTACAACCGAGGCCAACGTCGAAGTAAGGGCCCTGATTCTTCTCGATCAAGTCATCGTTTGGCCACCCCTCCTATTCTTCCATTCACATCCCCAGCGCGCAAACAGCGCATATCGCTGGAGCCGGTGGGCTGGCACGCGCAGCACCTGGTCGAGCCTGGTGCGTGGAACAACCGTGATGAGCGGTTCATTATCTTTCCCAGTGCCGTAAACAAAACGTCGAACAAGCTCGTTGCTCACGCGGTGTTCCCACCAGATGTGAGCTAAACTGCGAACGCACCAGTGATCGAACGTAACTAGCTGCTATACGTCGGCTGATGTAAGTGGCCAGGTTTCACAACCGCACAGTGGGGTCGAATGTACCGCTGCATTGTACACTCTACCCTTCAGGGCGAGAGTGACGTAGCGCCAGCGCCATAGACAGCGAAGGTTTGCAGAACGGCTTCGAGATTTTACCATATGATTCGTGACCTCATCTTCGATCCCAAGGGCGCTGATACAACTTCCCAGGTAGTTAAATTTCCGAACGACTTCTAGCTGATCTCCACCAAGGGTCAGCGCATGAGGCCGTCCCTGCCAATCGTGGAGAAAAGCTCTGCACTTTACTGGTGCAAAGCGCAGGCGGAAGCGGCTGACAGCCAGTGCCTCTTGGCAAGTCTGGGAGCTGTCACAGATGAGGGCAATATCGGCAGCATACTCCAACTCAAAAAGTCATTGGTCTAGGAGCAGGTCCACATCTTCTAAGACGTGTCCTGTAAATGCAATCTTCATGATTTCGTCAATAGCGAAGTTGGAGAGGAAAGATGACAGCCGACATCCTTGTCTCACACCGCTTGAAATACTGTAGGGTGGTGACAGCTTGTCGTAAGTCTTCACTTCGCCCGTACTATTCGCGTATAGCGCGCGGATAATATTTACATATTTCTCGGGCACACCTTTCCTGAGTAGACAGTCCCAAAGGGGACATCAATCCGCCGATTAAAATGCACCTTTGATATCGAGAAACACGACAGCGGTGGGCCGCCAATATATGTGATGGCGCTCCAACAGCTGACGTTAACTGAAAATGTGGTCGATGCAGTCACGACCACGACAAAACCTGGCTGGCTCTTCATGAATCTAGATTTCACGTGTGCCAGTCAGTTTGTGAAGGATCAGAGATGCAAGCAATTTAGAGGCAATGGAGACCAGACTAATTCCTCTTTGGTTGTCGCATTTCAACCGTGAGTCTCGCTTGAAAATTAGGACTATGACGGAGCGACTCCAGTCGGCTGGGACAGTTTCCTGATCTCAGTTTCACTAGTAACTAGTGTAAATCATCAACAAGAGCAGATCCTCCGAAGAGGGTTGGATGAAGATCATTCGGTCCAGCGGCTTTATTCAACTTCAACAATGCGATATCATGTATTTGTACAAGCCTGATGAAGAATTGCCGAAAACATATGTTCGCTTACCCAGACTTCTGATCTATCAATGGGTTTTTTCCATTCAATGCGATATCACATTCGACTTCTGAACGAGAGGGCGGATCCAAAGGGACAACCGAGGAAGCAGGGCGATCAGTGGCCAGCGAGAAATCTGACAATTCCGACCGATTAAATTGCCTTTCAAGGTGTTCAGCTCAACGCCCTAAGCGTTTTGATAAGTTGTGGATAAACTGTCCACTCTCGTCACGCATAGGTTCACTAACACCAGGTCTCCTGCGGCCCGTTTCCGCTATCAGACGGAATAACTTCCAAGTTACCAAGGGCAACGGCCATTTCCATCTCTGACACATGGTGAGACCACCAAGATTTGCTGTCTATCTTCAGCCTTGCACGGAGCGTTTGCTTCTAGCCGGAATGTGCCGGAGAGCATCGACGAGTTCCAGAGACTGCGAAGAGACCCAATGTCCATGTTAGCGACTGGAATTACCACATGAGGAATTGCCTGCTGCTAGTAAGGTCTGGTGAACATGAGACCAGTGTACACGTTAGCTGCATGTGAAAAACACCTCAGTTATTGTGTCGCAATACAAAAGGCAAAAAAATACAACAGAGGCACGTCGACTGAGTCCCCAGTAACGGATGGACATCGTTCCGTAGAGCTAACAGCCGCCTATCGTGTCGCAAAAAGAGAGTTATATTATACCTAACGAATGAGCTCGAGATTGGGGTGGGTGGAATCTAAAGGGAAAGGGGACCAGTGAGCTTCAATTTTATCCAGTGAGCGCTTACTCAACTCGCATGTCAGCGTACTTGGATACGCATTCAGAACAGCTGGCTTTGTCAGTTGGCTGGTGTCAATGCGCTCACAGCGTCACCGTGGGTGTCCGCCAAAACGCATCCCCATGTCAGCACATACAAGTGCTTGATCGGTGTCCACACATGTGCTCCCAATTGAGCGACAGTTCTGGATGCAGCCTCTCCATCGGTAACTGATAGCAATGTGATCGATCTGCGTCCAAGGCTGTTTCGAGGCTGGTGGGCGCCAAGTCACCCTCCGGCGGGTGCCGTGTCGGAAGTTAGTGTACGCAAGAAATAAGGGGGCATCTTTACACAAATGAAGTGACCGCTCACCGTTATCATTACGGGAGCCTACACCATGTTGGCCGCCCAGATGCAGTTCATCAGTGAACAATTTCCCAACTTGAGTGTTCAGAGCCTAAGCCAGCATTACAGTGTCCACGCTACTTCTGTGGCGAAGGAGCGCATTCAACTCGGGATAGAAGTCTTTTATCGAATCATCGCCAGAGTTTATGGCGCGCGTAGGCAGCGATAAGCAATAAAGACCTATCAGTCCCACGCGACTTCGAAGCTTTGAACGAGCCAGCCAATCGGACCGCACACATCCGGCTACTGATGGGGATCCAATAAACCAGAGCAGCTTCAGCCCGGGGACTCAGGGCAATGCCAACACCAGCTTGGCCGGTGCTCGAAGATGCATCATCACCGGATAGGCGGAATGAGAAAGTACTGAACGTGTCACCTGAAGGGCATCGCAAAGTGAGTACAGAGCTCGTCTTGCAGGTGGGTCTCCGATAAGCTGCAGATGTCGATCGAGAGGGTCTCTAATGATCGGGAAAATGCTACCTGTTGACCGATCTGTAGCAATGTGCGTACATTGAGGTATGCCAATCTGAAGAAGGATCGAGGGCCCCAAATGGAAGCGGATGAACTGGAGGGGACCGCTTGGTTTGACACGGGCTTATCGACAGGGCAAGAGTGACGCTCCGTGCTTGCACGTGAGTTGAAACTAGAAAATAGATGCCTATCAAAGCAAGGTGGGGAGGGCCAAGAATTGGGGGTTGAAAACTGGGG